ATAATTGGGATGGGAGTGTCAGAGACAGTGCGATTGGCACAGGACAGGGCGGAGTTTAGGGCTGTTGTACATAGGGTCGCTATGAGTCGCAGGCGACTCAACGGCACATAACAACAACATATCACTGCCTTTATATTTACATTTGCATTTTTTTTTTTAAAAATCAAGTAGTAAAACAAAATACTGTAATTATCTACAGATGATTATGTATGACTTGTGTCATCTTTGTGACTATCTAAATTCCCTTCAATTACATAAAATATTTTAAAATGAAAAATATATTTTTTAAAAAGCGTTCACTGTATATAGAAAGGCATTACTTTCTATTACTGCAGATGATAGTGAAAACGACAATAAATTACATTATAGCTATGGAGTAAGTTTATTTTTTTCCCCCTTCCTCAAACAGATTTACCGTAAACTTCCTGGGTTTTTACGCCTGATGATGGATTCCTTGAGAGAAGACAATATATTCTTCCCTAATGATGAAAAGTAAGTTAATGATGTGAAGATTACAGGATCCAAGAATAATTATTGTGACTTACTGTGTGGGTTGATGACAAGTCTGAATACCTTACCTCTGTGCCTGGTGTCCATCTAAAAATGGACACTAGGCATTGGGGTAAGGTATCCACAAATTTTCGATAATTGATTTTTTTTTGTTCTTGTTTAAATTCGGTGACTTCACCAATTCAATCTGTTATTTGAGGCCAAAAAGAAGTGTATAGTACCCTCTAGTGTCTTGACTAACATACCCCAGAGGTATGTCACTTGTAGCTAGGCCTTGGTAAAAAAACCCAAGTCCATCAGCCAACCAGCTCACAAACTCAAGTGTAGCCAATCAGTACAGTGCTAGAATTTCGCAAGTTAACCCTCTGCAGTTGAGACAATTCAAGGCCTTAACTAAATCACTCATTGCTGTGGAGTCAGAACTGACTCTGCAGTGTACTTCTGAGGTGGTAAATTGCATGGAAGGATATTGTCTGCTTTTCTTCCTCTGAGCCCTTGTGGATTCGAACCACCAGAAGATCAGCCTTTGGGCTAGATGTGCAACCCCCTGGGGACTATGCCATCAGCTCTCTTGGGTAGTAGTTATTACTGTTTTCTTGTTTCAGTACACTAACATTCTCAGGAAGAACAGTGGCCTACTGTGAAGGTGGGGATGGATATCAGAATTAGGGAGGGAAGGGTAAGTTTTTTGGTTTTAGAAAGTTCTTACCATGAAGAATAAGTTTCTTTTTCATGCCATAGCCTTTTTGAATGAGCAGACTAGGAGGTTGATCCATAAGCTAATAGAATCTGTTACATATTTAACCCATATATATATATATGGGGTGGAGGGAAAGAAATAAAGCACTACAGAGGTCGCTTTGGTCTTGTGGAAATTTTTACTATTTGTTTTGTTGTGTAGCATAGAGTCAGAACTGACTCAAACCTCCAGCAGGTTTCCAGAGGCAGTTAATTGCATGAGAGGAGATTGCCCGTCCTCCTTCCGAGGAGCAGCCTCGAACCCGATGCTCTCAGGATTGCTGCACAGCTTCTTGACACTAGGCCACCAAAGCTCCCTATTTTCCTCTTTAGGGGTCTTGAATTTGTGTTTTCTTTTCTACTCATTTGACTAAAATATAGTAAGGAAGATGATATCAAGTTCTTCTAATGCCGTTATCAGTTTAGTATTTCAGTATCGTGTCTTCTTTTTGAAAATCACTACCCTATTAGATTGTTTAAATATCTGAAGATGAGGGAAACTTGCCTAGAAAAGACACTACATGAAGCTTATGGTGTTACTATACCAGAAAAGGAAGGAGAGAGATTATCTTGTGTTTTGAACAGACCTTATGCTTTGCTAAAGCTTTAACTCAGAAGTAGATAAATCCCAATGCTTAACTCTTGAATTTCATTTTCCTCCCACTTATCTATAGTGTGAAGTTCTTGTCTTCACCCCTGCTCATCCTTCATGGAGAGGATGACAACATTGTACCTTTGGAGTTTGGAATAAAGGTAAATTAAAGCTTAGGACTGTAAGATCGCTACCAAGACACATGGAGATCTCCAAGGAACATCCATAGTTTTACAAGGGAGACAAAGACCTTTCTCAGCACCAACAGAGAAAGCCCTCCGCCCCCCGTCCTGGGACTGGCATTCAGACTTCTAGATGCTAAACTCGGGATGCTAAAGGGAGTATATATTTCTTTGTTAAAGCCACCTTTCTTCCTCTGCTCCCCAGAAAAAGAACTCAGTGCTGACTGAAACTCTTAGCTCATCATTTTTGATCTGACTTTACTGAGAACCCAGTACCTTTGACATTTTAAGGGCTTCTCTATACCCCTAGATGACCATGCTGCTGTGTAGAAGCGAGTATAGACAATGAGCTTATAACTCAGCTCAAAAGAGTGTGTGTGTGGGAAAAGTGTGGTTCCATATCTAGGGTCTGTGAGTATATAGAAGGTTCCAGTCTGTTGTAGGGATTTCTGGTGGCCTAGTGGTAAGGAGCTGTGCCATCCTGAAGGCCATGCTTCGAATCTACCAGCTACTTCACAGGAAAAAGATGGGTAGTCTCCTCCAGTGAGATTTTTCTGTGCTGAAGACTCACAGGAGGGCCAGCTGAGTTTGTTACAACTCAACAGCACATAACAGTCTACTGTGGGAACTTCAAAGTAGTAGCCCTGGCAGTGGCTCTAAGAATGGAAGATGAAGTTCTTCATAATAAACCAACAAATAAATCTCTACTAGTGAGTATCCACCAGAATTCCTAGTCTTCAAGAATGATGAGGTCTTCTCAGTAGTCACCATCACCTGCCTGGATTCCATTCATGAGATGCATGGACAGCTAACTCCAGATATGGTGTCCCCATACTTCCTACTTAAAGGAACTAATTTCCCTAAATGGCAGTTTTTATACCCTTCTAAAAAAAGTAGACTAGAAAAGCTATGACTTTGATTCCCCCAAACCTTTGAGTCTGTTTGTTCTGTTCTGTGCAGCTCTATGAAATTGCATACAATGCATACAGGCACAAAGAGAGGGTCAAGATGGTGATCTTCCCCCCTGGCTTCCGCCATAACTTTCTTTATAAAAGCCCGATGCTGCTTGCAACTGTGAGGTAAGAGCTGCTTTGCTAAATGTGGTGATCTTTCCATTTTAAGGCCACTTTGGCTTACTTAGATGATGTGCTGGGGGATGGCGGAAGTGAGGATGTCTGAACTGACAGTGGTTCTTTTTCTGCAGAGATTTCCTAAGCAAGCAGTGGGCATGAGGCAGCTGTCCTCCAGCAGTGACAACCTTCACTGATGATTTGGTTCAGATGGTACCCGTGATGTGTATTCTCTGATGTAACAGGTTAATGGGCTGTTTGGATCCGCTGAAGTCACTGATATTTCCATAAGTCGCTTGCGTTTTAATCAGGGAAAGCATGGATGCTGGGTGGCACATTGTGCCATTTAGTCTATCATGGTCTACTTTTTGAAACATGCTGAAACCTCACTGTGGAAAATTAGATCTTGGCAAAGCTTGGATCTCTTCTAAAAATGTGCTCTTACCAAAATATCCTATGGGCATTTGTGTATGAGGTGGTCTCCAACATGAACTTGGACAATAAGTTTAAGAAAAATATTCCACTATAGTTAAGTCATTTGTATTTTACTCAGTTGCACTCATTTCAATGGCATTCAAAAGTTCCAAGCAATTTTGTAGCTTTCTGAAGCGAATAGGGAAAGTACCGGCCAGATGCTACCCAATCTGCTTTAAATACTAAAGCTGAGCATTTGAGTAACCCTTGGAATTGGTACTTTGGAGAGAAAATACCAGACCCTTCCCCTCTTCTTGCCCAAAGATACTTAAGTAGACTACAAGCAAGTAAAACAAAGTCGAGGAATGTTAAAATAAAATGTTCAAGTTCAGGAACAAGCTGTTTTTTTCCCCCTAAAGACATTTTTCAACTCCTCAACTTTCAACTCTCTCAAGACAGTTTCCATTGGCTTTGCTCATTCCATTGGTCTACTCTTTGGACAGGGAAATCTTTATATCTGAAGGCTCCATGTTCCAGATGTCCTTCGCATATTCCTTAATTGTTCGGTCACTGGAGAACTTCCCCGAGGATGCTATATTTTTGAGTACCATTGTGTTCCAGGCCTTTGGATTCTGTAAACAAAACATAGACAAACTATTCAGGGTCTGATCACCCAGAAGAGCTTAAGGGAAAGCATCAGGCACTTTGATGGGCAACGTGACAATAATAAATTGTAGTGAGTCATACTTAGCACACAGTTGAGAGCTATGTTGGGCAGATTCCCATTTCTCGGGAGAATTGTGGTAACAAAAATATTTTGCACTTTAAGGTAAGCCTGAGAGTTCTTGGTATGGTTAAATTGTTTTTATTTCCTATGCTTGGTTATAAATGACGAAACTCTTTCTAAAACCACAGGAGGAAGGAAGGGCATTTATAGTTGCCAGGTGTGGTTCCTGATTGAGAACTCACAAACTTGAGCAGTGCTGCTCTGGAATGTTCGATGTCAAACAATCCTTAGTTTACTGACCTACTTAGTCTTCACTTGTTCTTTCTGGAGATAGATGACCTAGTAAATTAAGACAGACTCAAATTTTGAGACTCAAATATTGAGGTTTCAAAACAGGGGCAACCCAAAGCCCAATTTATATAAAAGTGTATGATAAAAAAGGTATTTCTTTTTGCAGTTTTATTCCTCTACAGAGATCTTTAAAATGTCACTGAAAATGGCAGGACATTCGCCAAACATATTAGCATTTATTAGCATTGTGAGCATTTAAATGAAAAGTGAAAACATTATTGCTTATGGTTATTGTAAAACATTGTCTGAAATCGCTTATTCATACTTTGGAAAAGAATGAAAACTTGCTCTCTTCACATTCTCAATTATGAAATGAACAGACTTCCCAGTCATGCTGGATGTTCTTTTGAAGCCTCACCAACACAATGTGTTGAGTGAAAACTACAATTATGTATTAACCTTCATTTGCCCCAGTGAACATAAAGATTAACTAGCATACTGTGCTTATAAGGGTATCCTTGGGATGTGGGCCATGGTTTAAACAGAGACTCATTGTATTAAACTGACATGCTTATTCTTGCAGAATGTGTACTGTGCTGCTATTGGGTTCTACATTCTGTATTTGCCTAAGAGTTCAAGCTGGTTGATTCTGCATTCTGTATAAGGCTATGAGGTCAATCTGGTCGATTCTGTATATATTTTGGAACCCTTTGGTGGATCAGTGGTAAAGAGTTGCACTACCAATCCAAAGACACACACTTTCAATCCACCAGCTTCTCTGTGGCAGAAAGATGGGTAATCTCCTCCTGTGTGATTTACGGTCTTTGAAAAACTGGAGGGTCAGCTATGAGTTTGTTCTGAGTTGCTGGTACACAACAACATAACTGACTTCTATTAGGGCATTTCCCCACCTCCACCCCCCAGTTTCTAGAAAAGAACATCATGCTTGAACTTCGGTGAAGGGTCAGGGAAGGAGATAGACTGATGTGGTGACTGCAACAATAGGCAGAGGAGATTATGAAGATGATGGGAGAATGGGCAGAATTTCATTCTCTTGTATATAAGTATTTATACATATACTTTCTAAACAAGAATCACTTATTTTGAAATAAAAAAAGTCTTTAAAACATAATAAGCAAAGATATTCTCAGATAAGCAGAGATTAAGAGAATTTATAGAAATCAGCCTACTCTTACAAGAAATATTAAAAGTAGTTCTTCGGCCAGAAAGCCAGTGACACCCGACAATAGGCAGAGATGCCAACAGAGGACAGTATCATCCACATATCAACCCAAACAAAGGCTTCACAAAAGCAAAATAAAGCTACAAAATGTTAAAAAAAAAAGTAACCGATTACAGGGAAATCAGAAAGCTGACTCATCTGTACTTTGAAATAACTGCCTGTGTGATTCTGATGTGCATCTACAGAGAAAAACCTCAGAATTAAACAGAGACTTTTAAAGAGAGGAAGAGCCCAGGCTTTCAGTCCCTGCTGTGTTCTCAGTGCTCTGCAGTGGCTAGGATGAAAAAGGCCCCCAATGCCTTTGCATTGAATAAATGAGCAAATAAAGTGCATATTTAAAATAACGTATGGTGTTATATCCTTAGCATCTAGGACATGCCTGTTAACATGGTAGGTGTTCAATATATATATGGAATTATTTATGATGTTTTTGCTTGAACTTTAAAATTGCAACTGAAATGCCAGTTTCAACCTTTAGCAGACCAATTTTGGTCTGAATAACTTATTGATTTGTAAGGCCCAGCTATTTAGGTTCAATAAGAAGTTAGAAAAGTATTGTTCAGAATAACTGGCTTCCTTTAGAAGTCTCGGCAATGTACTCACCATGTATAGTTGACTGACTTTTTCTTGACACTTGACATAGGCTTCATAATCTGCAAAGACTTTAAACCTGGTGTGTGTGTTGTGGATATATGTTTAAAGGGGGAAAAAAACAACAGAAAACATTAAGAGATGCATGCTAAGGCATAATCTAAAATTCCTTTTTTCTTAATTTAAAACATGGCTGATTTATTGTTTCCATTGTTTCCATTCAGAAGAATTTTAAGCATCCCTTAACCTTTGAGTTAATGCATATTATTTTTTTTAATTTTTATTTTATT